ACGTTACCACAACCTGGGTGGCCTAAAACAAGAGAAATTGATTCTCTCACAGCCTTGGAGGCTAGAATCCGTCCCTTCCTCTTCTAGTGTCTGGCATTTACTGGCAATCCTTGGCATCTCTTGGTTTACGGCAGCACAATTCCAATCTCTGACTCCATTTTCACTCTGTCTTCTCTGTGTATCTGTGTCTCCCTGTCCCTTCTTCCAAGGACACCAGTAGTTGGATTTAGAGCTCACCCTGATCCAGTATGACCCCATCTGAACTACAGTGCATTTGTAAAGACTCCAAAAAAGGTCACAGTCATAGGCTCTGATAAGGACTTCAGCCTATCTTTTGGGAGGGTAGGGGGGGGCAGGTATAGTTCAACCCACTGCAGTAGGTGAGCCCTGAATGCACCTCAGGCCGTGTCAGATGTAATAACAGCACCGATTTAGTTTCTTTGGAGAAAATGGATGTATTCTCAGGTCTCTGGTGATGTAATTGAGTTGATCCCGTGTCCCTCCTTGCCCCAATCTTGTGTGTTACCAACAGTACTGTTTTCAAAATAGCTAATTAACTTGGGGGCAAATAATGAGCTTTTTCATCCAACAGACTGATGTATTTCAGAGGGAAGGGGAGGACATGAAAAGATTAGCCAAAGAACTAATATTCATATATGCATAACCCATGGACACAGACAATAGTGTGGTGAGGGCCTGGGGAGAGAGTGGGAGTGGGGTGAAGGGCATCAATGGGGGGAAAAGGGAGACATCTGTAATACTTTCAACAATAGCGATACACTTTAAAAATAATGAGCCTTTAAATTCCTACTTATGATTAAATGTAAATTCATGAGCAGATACTTAGTTTTGTTTATTTTTATGTCCCCAGCATATTGAAATATTAAAGCCATCATTGACTTGGGACAGTGTAAAGCTAATTGGCCCTATGCTTATTCACCTAACATTTATTGAGCAACTGCTGTTTGCAAGGCACTGTGCTAGGTAGGTATGGGAGAAATAGTGGTAAAACTTGTAGTAACTATTAATTTATTAAGAATCTACTATTATTTTTTTTTTGGACACCAGAAAATGTTCTTTGCATAATTTATCATGAGTCCTTACAAAAGCCATAAGGTAAGTATTATTATCCCCATTTTATAGAGAAAACTAGGGGTAAAAATGTTAAAAACTTTTACCAAAGTCACAGAGCTCCCAAGTGACAGAATACAGAATCAAGGTTAGATATGAATGATATACTGTGGACCAATCCTGCTCCATCCTTTGATTAAAGGTTTCTGAATAATGTTTCTTTGCTTTTCTCCCAGAAATCTAATGGCGTAGTGTGTATTTTTTTTAATGAAACCAAATCATCTTTTCGTATAATAGATTTTTAATGAAATATGTAGATAGAAAGGAACTGATGATATATCTATCATCTACCATAACTCCTTGTGGCCAAAAACACAAATGGAAAATATATGCTTTCATTTAGGCAAATGTAAAACCTTTAATCATAATAGCACCCTGATTAATAAATGAAGAAGTAATGGGAGAATGTGACCATTTTCCAGTCTCTATGGACTGATACCTAAGCACTGACTATATTAGTTGGCTGCTAAGTCACAAAATTAGAGGTAGTCAAGTATGAGTTGCCTCCTCAAGGAAAACCACCTGTCAACTACTATTCTATTCAAAACTCAAATCTGAATTTGATCAAACCTCCAGATCTTACTATGAATTCATAATAAATCATGCCATCATTAAAATGTGGATTATGGGACAAGCTATATGACAAAAGAATCAAGTTATTAACAAATAAATTGCAAGGAAAAAATAAAGCTGGAAAAAAACTTTAGATGAAAAAAGGCAACATTTATCAATTAATTGCAGGATTGATTTGAACAGAATGCAAAAAAATTTTTTAGGCATTTGGAGAAAATTTTATACTGACTGGATATTGGATAAGATTTAAGTAATTATAGTTCCTTTTGGTTTTGTTTATAAGCAGAGTTCTTATCCCTTAGAAATACATGTAGAAATGGTTATGGATAAAATGGTGTGATACTGAGAATTTGCTTCAAAACATTCCCGAGTGGGTAGGGATAGAGGTGAAATAAGGTTTGATTGAATTGCTCATTGTTGAAGCTGGTGATGTGTACCTTTCTCTCACTTAAAAAAACTTTTTTTATTGTGTGTGTGTGTGTTTTGTTTTTTATTGATTTCAGAGAGGAAGGGAGAGAGAGAGATAGAAACATCAATGATGAGAGAATCATGGATCAACTGCCTCCTGCACGCCCCCCACTGGGGTCAAGCCCACAACCAAGGCATGTGCCCTGACTGGGAATCGAACCCTGATCTCCTGGTTCATAGGTCGATGCTCAACCACTGAGCCATGCCGGCAGGGCAACCTTTCTCTCACTTTTATATGCATTTGAAATTTTCCATCACCAAAAGTTTAAAATTAGTTTCATAAATATGTGAACAGGAAGTAGTTCAGAAGGTCTGATAGAGCAAGAGGAATGGAGGAAAAGGTTTGAGTCCAAAGAAGGTTGGGGGAGAAAGAATGGGGGTGGGGGAGAGGAAGGGCAAGTAAAAACATCTACATGAAAATAAGCTGGTCCATTTTCTACTGGAACCGTGCTCTCGAACTAGTCAATGTTCTGATGGACCTATTCTGGGAGCAGCGGCTGAGCAGGCCAAGGCTGGGGGATCATGAACGACAGAAATAACCTGGTTCCTCTGTTAAAGCAGTTCTCGGGCTCCAGCTGGCATGTCTTGAGAGCCAGGAGCTGTGCCGGTCACTACCTGCTATTTGTGCGGTACTCTGCTGTTCATAAATGTTCTACCACCTCCTTTTAGCTAATCTTCCATCAGAGCCTCCTGAGGGAGGTGCTCTCATGCTCACTCCAGAGACTAGGAAGCTGGAACTCCCACCTGGGGCTTGACTGGAGCATCCATAGCAGAACTGGGACCCAGGCCCTGCCTTGGGCGCCGCTGACCACTGCTGTTCCTTCCCTACTCCTGCCCGCAGAAGAGCCTTTTTATCTTTAAACATGTGCGTGCATCAGAGCAGGGCTGCGCTATTTATGCCAGGTGTGCACTTCTTTCCGGATGGATGGTCCTTGTGAGTGTGAGAAGAAGAAGCAAATGCATTGGGCATGGAGATTATGCTAAATTAGAGGGCAGGGCAGGGAACAAACCAAATGAATAAATACTTCAGTCCCACTTGTGTTATTCTTTAAAGGGTATGCATATATGCCTTATATGCATAAACATTCCTTAAGCAGATACATGAAAAATTTTAACAGTGCTTACCTTTGGGGAAGGGAACTGGTTGTTAGAATAGGTAGACTTTGACTTATAAGTTCAGAAAACTTAAAAAAAAAAGACCATAGAAAAGGAAGGTGTCTTAGTTTTTTTCAGGCTGCTATGAAAAAATACCACAGACTGGGTGGCTTATAAACAGCAGAGATTTGTTTTTCATAGTTATGGAGGCTGGAAATCTGAGATCAGTGTGTGAACCTGATCCGACAGGGGTCCTCTTTCTGGTGTATCCTCACATGGTGGAAGGGACCAGGCAGCTCTGTGGGATCTCCTTTATAAGGACACTAATCCCTTTCACCAGGGCTCCGCCCTCAGGCCCCACTTCTTGACACCATCACATTGGGCATTAGGACTCCAACATGTAAATTTTGGGAGAACACAAACATGTAGACCCAGCAGAGAGAAAAGTACAGTAACCCATCTCTTTAACAGTGCTTCCTAAACCCAAAAGATCTCTTCCTTCTAAACAAAAAAGCTCTGGGGAAGGAAATATGGCACTCTGTAAGTCCCAAGCTGGGAAATTCACAATGTATATTAGCATAGTAAAGATTCTGAGAAGTTATAGTAAAGAAATCTGTATAATATATTTTTTCTTACCTCTATTGTATCTATTATCCTGCAGCATTATATTCTATAGCATATCATTTTGCAACCGGTATACATATTTAAGAAAAGCTAACCTAGCCTTAGGCCAAATGCAAGTGAATACTTCTTCAAGGATGTTGGAAGACTTGCCCGAGGGTATGGTGCCTCAAACCTGGGTCTTAGATTCAGGCAACCTGAGGCCGGATCTTGGATCTTCCACTCACTGGCTGGCTGAGCCCTCGGCAGGTTGCCTAACCTCTGGGTCTCAGTATGCTCACTCACAGGTTAAAGAGAAGCAATGATGCCTCCCTCCTATGGGCATTTCCAGGATTAAATGAGAGAAGAACCTGGTCCTGAGTAGTACTAAGAGGTGTTAGTTCCTCTTCCTCACTCTCCACTCCATTGGCCCATCTCCTTCTATGATAACACTGCCGTGCCTCTGTTTGCGAACACCACACTTACCAAAACGAATTAGCCCCGGATCCCTCCATTTATGCAAAGTTTTATTTTAGGCTTTATCAAAGGCCAGGCTATAAGGTGGCAAGATTTTTTTTTTTTTGCATTTTCAATGGGAATCCATTTCTAAACTCTTGATTTCCAGATACCTATTTCAAGAATGTGCTTCTTATGCAAGGCAAAGAATCCTGTTTCTCCACAATTCAGAGCCCAAAAGACAGCGAAATTCACTGTCTGAATCCCATCCAGCTTTGCCTGCTCCGGGCCATTCCAAGCCCTTGCACCAAGGGAGCCCCTTCCCCGTGCTTCCCAGGCCACGTTCAGGCTCGAGCACAGTGGAAACCGATTTCGGAGTTACATCTTAAAGTGTGTGTGCTAAAGCATCGCCTTTTCAAAGTAACCTTTGCATTGAGCCCTGGAATCTAATTACTCAAGTGTTATTTGCCTCCCCAACGTACCCATGCCTGTGCAGGTTGTTTAAAGTTCAGGAAGTATTAACAAAAGGCGTCAGAAGCAAGATCTCGAGCCCTGCCTCTGAGGAAGCTCCCTGTCTGCGCCTTGCCTCTCCCTCCTCCTGGGTGTGCCCGCCTGCCTGGGAAGGCCAGTGAGTAACCTGCACATTTTTTTTTTCCATCTTGGCCCTTCCCACCCAGACGAGAGGACGGAGTGGCAGACAGGCAGGCAGACGGCGGTGAGTCCTGTTCAGGCATGCACGGAGCATACCTCTACCCGCACCCACGTCCTGGACCCCTCGCCACCCTCACCCCACTCCAGGAGGAGCCAGAGCCCTTGTGAGGGTCCAGAGGGTCCGGAGGGGACCTCCACTCCCAATGGTAAGGCTGCCAGCAGAGGGACCACTTCATTCATTTTCTTTGCTTTGGGGTTGGCTTTTCTTTTCTATTGTGTTTAGACGGGAGAGTTTCTGATGGAATTGAAGGGTTTTGTTTGGTTGATTTGTTAGTTCTCAGTCATCCCAAGACAAAGAAGTGTCCTTTCCCAGCAGGATTTATTAGAACTTGTAACCTGATAGCCTGGCCTTGAAACAAAACTTAATGTACTAATTACCTCTGGTTAGTACAACTGACCCTTTTGGCCCTGTAGGGGAGAAAGAAATTAAAGACTACATTGCTTATCAAATACGTTTTGAAGAATGAAAAGTGCTAAGGAGTGTGGGCATTTTATGGGCACCTCTGACTAATTGAAAAGTAGCCTAAGTTGTTATTATAGCTTTAATATAGACCACGATGACGTTTTGCCTCAAAACAAACCAAACCAAGTAAACAGAAAACCCTTTTTAAAAGATTTGCGTGTTGAATGAAAGATGCCAGTGGAGGGTTTGAGTAAAAGAGTTTAAAGATACGTTGATCTAATTAAATATAGATGAACATGGAAGTATTGAATTAAATCTGTGGTGCTCTGTGACGAAAACAGATGCTCAATGTGGGAGTCATGTGGGATTTAAGGGAGAAAACAGAGATCTTTGTATGGTGTGTCGAGAATTCTTTGAGGGGAGGGTTGGAAGGCACATGGAGGAGGCTGGGGAGCAGGTTTGTTGTGGGGGGCTGTTGCCAGGCCTTCTCCCTCAACTGCTGTGGGTGAGAGAATAATTCACAGTCATCAAGTGCTGCATTGTTAACATCAGGCTTCTGATTTCAATATTTATTACAAACGCAGGCTATGGATTGCATGAGCATAGAAGCAATACAACTTATCCCAAACACAGGCTATGGATTGCATGGGCATGTGCAGGAATACAACTTATTCTAAACACAAACTATTGCCAAGAGGTTATGGTTCGATTCCCGGTCAGGGCACATGCCCAGGTTGTGGGCTCTATCTCCAGTGTGTGTGTGTGTGTGTGTGTGTGTGTGTGTGTGTGTGTGTGTGTGTGCAGGAGGCAGCAGATCAATGATTCTCTCTCATCATCAATGTTTTATGTCTCTCTCCCTCTCCCTTCCTCTCTGAAATCAATAAAAATATTTTTTTAAATAAACACAAACTATTGGATTGTATGGGCAGATGAAGGAATACAACTTATTCCAAACACAGGCTAAGGATTGCATGGGCATGGAAGAAATACAACTGCTGCCTCTGGTGCTGGCCGAGCCCAAACTTTCATACCTGGGGAGAGCTCAAGAAAAAGGCTGATGGAAAGAGAAAGCTATGGTCACGCTAATTTGATACTATACTAGTAGTCCATCTGAGACAGCCCTGTTCTTTGAACAGACTCGAGGAATTACGTCCTGATGACATTAGAGTGTGAAGATGCTGAGCTAAGGGGTTTTATAGGAGAATGGTGCAGGGAACTGCCCAGGCCAGAGGCACTCCCATGACACATGTGGAAGTTTGGCCTGTGCCCAAGTATCTCTACGAATGCAGCAGTTTCTTTCTTGGCACCGCTGTGTGGGCAACTTAAGGATTCTCTGTAAGGAGCAACCTACATTTACCATATCTAGGTTTTTAGATGAGCAAAAAAACAACAGCCCTAAAAATTGGTGTACCGAAAAAAGGTAGGAAGGGCACAGGCATACCCTTAGAGTGCATACCCCTCTGCTAAGTTTTAGGAAAATAGAGTATGTTTTCTTGTTGAAATCAATAACTCTTCGTCATTGCCATTATAATGTTTCTGTGATAAGAATGCCAGTACTCGGCTTCCTTATAGCTTAGGTTTCCCTTTGGCTAATAAATCTAAAGCATGGAGTGCCTGCAGCCCAATCAGCCAGCTCTTTAGAAGACGATCCAAGAATGCCACTTATTTTGTTGCTGAGTGAGCAAGAAGGGGGTGGGGACCATTATGATGATTTTACCGGAGATTCGAAGTTTAAATCTGTGACTCTTTTCAGTTATGATTGAAAAGAAAATGGATGCCACTCCAAGCCACCCATGGGTGTAACAATACTGGTAACCATCTGGCCCCCGTAGGCATATGCACTTTCGATACTATGCATTAGGGTCTAGAAACATCGTCATCCCTCCCATACTTACTTCTCTCCCAGACTCAGTGCTCAGGGACAGAATCCAGTGTAGAGGACAGTGGGCAGTGTTTGCTAATTTTTAAAAATATGATTTTTCTGATTTTAGAGATAGAGGAAAGGAGAGCGATAGAGAGATAGAAACATCGATGAGAGAGACATCTATTGGCCGCCTCCTTCAGAGGCCCTACTGGGGATTAAGCCCTAATCCTGTCAGGTGCCTTGACTGGGAATTGGGCCGTAACCTCCTGGTTCATAGGTTGATGCTCAACCACTGAGACACACCGGCCGGGCAGTGGTGTTTGCTATCAATGGCCTATTTGCACAGTTTCAGAATTTCCCAGCGTTCTTCATAAACTAAATTGAATGCGATTTCTTCTTGAAACTGGCTTTTCTGAGGCATCTTCATGGTGAATCTAGCATTTCTTTTTCTTTCATCGTGTTTTCATGCCCTCCTTTTGTTTAGTCTTTTAAGCAGTGACCCTACCAGGCAGATTGAAAACCGGCCTTACAAATGGGAACCAAACTGGGTACTTTCGACGACCTTGCCTTTGAGCAGCATATGCTTTCTTTCTCCTCCCACTCTCTGTATCCCAGCCCAGCCTCGGCCACTTCTCTGCCATCCTGTGTTTTCTGGAATTCATTTCTCTACCAGCCCCTGCTGTCCCAGACCTCACAAGTAGGTGTTTAGAGAAGTGAGTGGAGCTAACCAAAAGGTCATGGTGATTTTTTTTTTAAACCAGAAAGCTGCACCTGGTTGTAGGGATGCTATAATAACTATGGCTGCACCACAGCCAGGCTGCACCGCAGGGCCTGGGTCAGGGAAGACAGCTGTGAGTTCAGCCATCGTAGTTTTAGTGTTTTTCCTAAGTGGTCACAGTCGGGGCAAGGGTGAGCGAACTAGGGATATGGAGTGAAGAGGGTTTAGGTACAGCTGGTGGCTACAGTGTAATTAGCCCCAGCCTGTAATCTTCAGTGAGCTCCAGTTTCCTGCTCCTCAGGCTTTTTGCTGCTCTGGGATGTTATCTTTTCCCTGTAATATTTCTTACGACCCATTGGTGCTCCTCCTGTGATGCCTCAGATCCTTTGGAGGATGTAGCCCTGATCCTCCGGCCACATTTCATCTGTTGGCACATCCCAAGCCAGGAAGAGATATCAGAGACACTTGCCCTGAACAATCCCCATGAGGATGGCGTGTCATCCACACCACCTTTAAAACCCCCGGAGGATAATATAAAATAGTGCTGAGCCCTGGCCAGTTTGCTCAGTGGAGAGAGTGTCGGCCTGCAGCCCAAAGGGTCCTGGGTTTGATTCCAGTCAAGGGCACACACATACCTTGGTTGCAGGCTCCTACCTGCAGGGCCCTGGGCGGCATGCAGGAGGCAACCAATCGATGTGCTTCTCTCACATCATTGTTTCTGTCTTTCCTCCTCCCTTTCACTTTCTCTAAAAGATCAATGGAAAAATATCCTTGGGTGAGGATTAATAAAAATAAGTAAGTAAGTAAGTAAATAATAAATAGCGCTGAGACAGATTCCTTTTGCTTTAGTTTGAGACCAAGATCTTGAAGATTAAGTAAGATGCATTTGTGTGCAGGCAGTAGAAATGAGGAATAGCTGATGCAATTTCTATCTGGGGATTTTATAGTATTTGAGATTAGAGCGAACAGTTTGGCCTACGCTTAGAAACCACATTTGGCTGCAGGTGATCTTTTTCTCCCATTACATTAGGTGTGTAATACATTGGTTGCCAAAATGACCCTAGTGATTCCCCTCTTTAATCTAGTTCCTTGTGATGTGGTTTTGTAGCTCTTTTTATCAGGTAGAGTCTGGCCCAGCTGGTATGGCTCAGTGATTGAGCATTGACCTATGAACCAGAAGGTCACAGTTTGATTCCTTGTCAGGACACATGCCTGGGTCAGGGGCTCGATTCCCCAGTAGGGGGCATGCAGGAGGCAGCCGATCAATTGTCATTGATGTTTCTATCATCTCTCCCTTTCCCTTCCTCTCTGAAATCAATTAAAACAGCAACAACAAAAAGAAGTAGAGTCTGTTTTCCCAGTCCCTGAACCTGAGCTTGGCCTTGTAACTTAATTTGGCCAATAGAATGTGCAGAAGTAAAGGTATGCATTATACTGGACCCCAGCCTACATCTTAAGAGGCCTCGAATACTTCTGCCTATTCCCTCAGAATCCAGCCCAGTCACCATACAGATACTCATGGACTTGCTGTGTCCCAGAGACCCTTGTCACCCTAGGTGACAACAATCTTATACCAGACAGGTGTGTGAGTGAAGCAATCCTAGACCAGCCAGCTGACCTCACACTTGAGTGGGCCCAGCAGAGCTCAGACAGACTGATCCAGACCCACAGACTTGTGAGCATCATCAGTGCTTATCCTTTTAAGCTACTTGTTTTGGAATAGTTTGTTATGTTAACAATGACTAATGGGTACACGTGGTCACCTGGAGATGGTCCTTCTGTGTTCGCTTTTGGTTCTATTGATGTCATCATAAATGCTTAGCACAACTCAGCATGAGACTCAGTCACTGGACGGAGGGATTCTATTGTGGGGATGCAATTCTTGTGATCATCAGCATTACTTTGAGACCTTTTAACAACCCAGACACCTGGGCCTTGTGCCAGAATATTCAACTAAATATAGATGAGAACTAGGAATCTATAATTTAGAAAGTTCTGGTGATTGATTACCCTGGCCTTGTGGCTCAGTTGGTTCAGTGTCATCCCATGCACCAAAAGGTCGCAGGTTAGATTCTGGATTGGGGCACATGTCCGGTTGCGGGCTCAGTCCCCAGTTGGGGCCATGCAGGAGGCAGTCGATTGATGTTTCTCACATCAATGT